TCCTCTTTGGGGGTGTGTTTTCCATTTGAGTTTTCATATTTCCAAAGTTCCTTCGCTGATTTCTTTCCATGCGGATCAGTTGTTGCTTCTTTCCTTTAGGTTTTCGTTTGGGTAATGACACGCTCTGTGTAGTCTCTGAGCCAGTAGGTGGTGTTCGTGGGTGAGATTCGATCATACCCTGTATGATGAGTCAGTAGGTGCTGTGAAAAGGGTGTGCAGAATGTTCTCCTTGTCGATAGGTGGCTCTTGCTCAGAGGAGCAGGCTACACTGTTGTTTTTGTGTCCTGTAACCAGCTCTTGTTTCTCTGGAAAGGTACTCTAGTGCCTCAGATGGTGGGTGAGGCTCTGGGACTTCCAGGTATGTCCTTATTCTCCACCTCAGTGAGAGCTGGTCTTGAAGTGAGTCTGGGTGGAGCTGGGTTGGTTAAGCCTGCCCTCAGGCACTACAAATGCTGTTAGCAAGGGTCAAAGTTCTATTCTCTGCTTCTGGGAAAACCTGTCAGGGAGGGGCTGGAATGGCCCCGCTCAGTCAGACAGTTTGTGTGCGGGGGTAGGGCTGTCTGAGACCTGCAGACTGGAGTAGGCCCCACTCCTTTCCACTCTCCCCAACTCCTCTGCTTCTCCTGGGCCTCTGCCAGCAGGCCAGACCTCACGCCACCGGGTCTCCCCTGGGTGTGATGCAGGCTGGGAGGCTCCCTGCAGAGGGTCACTGCCTGGGCTGGGCCTACACCCCCCTGTCCCCACCCCCGCCTTAGGAGGAGGGTTGCCCTCAAGTAGGCTGATCTCCCCTTAAAGGCACACACACCTCAGTAGGCTGTTCACGAATGTCCCTTCTGTGTGAATATCCCTTCTGTGCACGGGATCTGGTCTGCAGGTCTGACCTCTGGGCCCTGGAATTCAATCCCTGATCCCACCAGGGAGAGGAGTGCCAGTCCCAATTCACCTATGGAAGCCCAAGCTGGGTCGATGTCTGTCAGCCTCAGCATCTGTCCCGCTCTCCTGGAGTCACTGGGCCAGAAGCACCTGGGAGGGCTGGTGGGTAGGGAGCTCATAGTCTGAGTACCCCTCAGTCAGCTGAAGGGCCCCAAAAGCGGAGGTCCCGTTCCTTGGAGATGCCTCCGGCTGGTGGCTATATTGCCTCTCTTGGCAGCTGTAGTTAGGGTCGGAGGAGGGGAAAGGGTAGCAATATGGCGCCTACCATGGGGCTCGGGTCTGTGCACATGGAGGTACCCTGAGGGGGTTGGGAGCCTGGTGCCGTATCTGCTACAGGCTTACCACTCACTGGTGGTGGCTGTCTCTGGGCTGGTGTCTGCTGGTCTCTCCACCCGCTGGGGAGCCCACCAGCAGTCCGAGATGCAGGGGAGTGGAAAGTTAACTGCTCCACCTACCCTTGCCGCTGGTGTCCAGACTACTTGGAAGGTCTCTGCTTCCAGTTCTCCTCCACAACCTCCCCCATGGAGTCTCCCGTAGTCTCTGGTACCCCTCCTTCCGACCCTCGGCCAATGTATGCTCATCTGCTTGCTTCTTTCTTCTAATTTCTTCTAGAAACTGTCTTTTTTGCAGAGACACTCTGTCTGGTGGTGTTTCTCGTCCACCATCTTGCTCCACCCCCTCTAAGCAATATTTGATATTAAAGTTAGAATTTACATAAAGACAATTCATATGTGAAATATACATGTATGTGAATTTGTTTATAAAGGGAGTCTCACAAATGAATTCTTTTGAATCCGTAATTGTAATATCACCTTAATCATGCTTTGATTATCTTCACTTAACCATCCCAGTGTCCTCCTGTAATCACTCAAGTATTGTTATTTCTATTTAACAAAATAAGAAACTGATACTCAAAGACATAGTGAATATAATTTATAATATTATTAATTATATTATATTATACTGAGTCTCATATATATATTATACTGAGTCTCATATATATATATATATGACTATGAGATATAGTCTCATAGTTGTATAGGAGACTTTTTCTCTTCTCCCAATCATCTAACTCAACCCATAAAATAGAATCTTCACCAACTCTCTACCTTTCTTATTCCCATAGTAGGAGAGACTTCACTGATTGGAGAAATGTTAACAGCATTACTTCCATTGGTTTGGATCACTATTGGGTGATTTAACATGTTAGAATTCAGGCCAGGTGCGGTGGCTCATGCCTGTAATTCTAGCACTCTGGGAGGCCGAGGTGGGTGGATCACTCAAGGTCAGGAGTTCCAGACCAGCCTGAGCAAGAGTGAGACTCTGTCTCTACTATAAATAGAAAGAAATTAATTGGCCAACTAATATATATAGAAAAAATTAGCCGGGCATGGTGGCGCATGCCTGTAGTCCCAGCCATTCAGGAGGCCAAGGCAGGAGGATCACTTGAGCCCAGCAACCCAGGAGTTTGAGGTTGCTGTGAGCTAGGCTGACGCCATGGCACTCTAGCCTGGGCAACAGAGTGAGACTCTGTCTAAAAAAAAAAAAAAAAAAAAAAAATAACACATTATAATATATGAGATTATTTGATCCTTTATCTTTGTTCTCTGACCACTTTTTAAAACAATATAGTAATGTTTTTTGGTTTTCAAGTTCAAAGTCCAAAAGAATCTATTGAATTAATAAGAATTTGACAAGATTTCTAGGTGTAAAACCAATACAAAATATTAATCAATTCCTAAATGGAAGACAGATTAAGGAATATGCCTTTTAAAATGGCATCCAATATAATGTTTCTAGAAAGAAACCCAAGAAAAAATGTTCAAGACATATGAAAAGATAAGATAAGAAAAACCTAAAGAAATGAAGAAGTAAATGATATTCATGAAGTGGAAGATTCAGTCATATATTTAATTTCTCTAAACAGATTTATAGATTCAATGCAATTCCAATTAATCCTACCAATTGTTTGATGGAACTTGGTAATTTTATTCTAAAATAGTGTGTATGAAAATGCAAAGAGTAAAGAAAATCCAAGATGATTTTGAGAAAGAATGATGTGAGAGGACTTAGGTTTCCCAGATATCAAGACTCATTATAAAGCTGGAATAATAATGACAATATTGTAATGGTGTAAGGATAGACATATGGATCTCTTGAACAGAATATGGAGCTCAGTACCAGGCCCATGTATTAATAAACCATTGATATATGACAGAGATGGCATTGCAGATCAGTAAGAAAATAACATATCTTTTCAATAAATGGTGGCAGACAACTGGTATCCGCAAGATAAAGAATGAAATTTAATTCCTACCTCATACTATGCATATCACACACACACCAATTAATTCCTAGCATATTAAAGATCTAAATGCAAAAGTTAAACCAGAAATCTTTTAGAAAATAATAAACAATATTTTTATGACTTTCTGTAGGGAAGGATGTTTTTTAAACAAGCAGGAAAAAGACACATCTAAAGAAATAAAAATAATTATGTTAAATCAAGAATTTGTTTTCATTAAGTCAGCACAAAGAATAAAAATACAAGCTGTAGGATCAAAGAAGATATTTATAACTGAAATATCTGTTAAAGGAATAGTATCCAGTATATATAAATAATTTGTTCAAATCAATTAGAAAAAGTTTGCAAAAGACTTAAGCAGGTACTTCACATGTATTGGCTAATGTTAATGGCCAATAAATAAATGATAAATGCTTAACCTCAGTGGTCATCAGGGAATTGCAAATTAGAACCACCATGAAATATATCCATATAGTTACCAGATTAACTGTCTGATTAAAACATCTCCTAATCCTAAATGTTGGCCAAAATGCTGAGCAACAGGAACTCTTGTACACTACTGGTGGAAGTATAAGAGGGTAAATTTATTTAACCCTTTGGCAGTATCTTTCAAAGGTGAGCATATGAAATCCTGTGACCCAGTGATTCCACATCTAGGTGTATACCCAACAGAAATGTATACGAAAGCATCATTATTTAAAATAGCTCAAAAGTGGAAACAACCCAAATGTACATCAACAGAAGAATGGATAAATAAATTTGTAGTGTATTCCTAAAACAAAATAACAGCAGTGAAAACTAATGAACCACAGCAGTACATGAAAACATGGATAAATCTCACAAACCTATATAGTTGTCACAGGGTTTGTCATGGTTTCCCCCAAGAGATCTGCAGGCCATTTTAATGACTAGTCTGTTCTCAAAATTCAAATTTGATCTTGTATATGACTATTCGATTCTAGAGAATCAGTGTCATCTTGACACCAAAGCTTCATGACAGAGGTAGATATATAGAAGGCACCGAAGGAGTCTAAGCATGAGGGGTGCTCAGGGGGTGAGGGAAAATTATGGACTCCGACATAAAGTTCATCACGGAAAGGTCATGCCCACTGTTAGAAGCAATAAGTTCTGCTGTTGTGGGAATTCACTGAGAGTTGAGTAGAGGAACTACTCAGAACCCTGAGGTCGCCCAAGACAACATGCTTGGCAAAGGCTCTGAGTGACATTCCTGGCTGCACATCTCTGTTCTGTTCTGGTCTCTCAGTGGTTGCTATTGCTGCTGTCATGACTGCTGTTGACAGGATTTGGCCCAGAGGTTCCTGAGCCACACCAGTACTTTGTGCTTGTCCAACTTGAGCTTTTTAGCCAGTGTTTCCCTCTCTTTGCAGCTTGAGTACAGGTTCTCCTCAAAGAGTTTCTCCAACTCTTTCACATGTTCCCTACTTAGATGATACCTTCCTGATGCTGTCTCTGATAAGGGGGCATGAGTTCCCAGGATTCTTAGATTCTTTACACTTGCTCTGTTCCTTCTTCAATGTTAGTTGTCTGACTCCTTTGCTCTGGTCAACACAGCATGAAGCCAACTTTGGTTCTCCATGTCTGGTTGGGTAAGTCTGCTTTGCAGAAGTAATGTTTCCCACATGTAGGCTTGAAACCTTGTCTTTGGGAGAGGTCCAACTCGTGTTCTCTAATCCAATTTACCAGACATAGATACTGTTTTAATTCCCATCTGACTTCTATGTCCAATTCTAAATTATTTCAGCATTCAGAGGAAAGGGGGTTAATATGACGGACACTGATGAAATCTCAACAACTTTTAAAGACTGATCTGAGACTTGAATCTCATTCTCCTGACTCAAAGGCCAAGGTATGTCCTATCACTCACTCTTCTCTTTCAATACTAGGTACCATTTACAGAGCCCCTTCTGTTGACAGCAACTGTGCCAATCACTTTATGTATATTATCTTATTTAGCCCTCACAACAACTCTATGAGATACTAATTATTATCCTTGTTTTATAGTGAAGCCTAGAGAAGATATGTGACTTGCTCAACTTCATAGAGCTGATAAGTGGAAGAGTTGGAATTTAAATACAGATTGCTTTAATTACAAAGGTCCTACTGTTAACCATTAAGGTATAATTTAATAATAATAAAATTAATAATGTGGTTGCCCATCATAACACTGCTACATTGACCCGAGATACTTTATGATAATCCTAACTTTGTATAGTTGTCCTTCAGTATATGTGGGAGATGGGTTCCAGGACCCCTATATACACCAAAATCCACACATACTAAAGTCCCACAATGGGCCCAGAAAAACCACTGTATAGGAAAAGTCATCCCTCTGTATTTGCACATTTTGCATCCCATAACTACTATATTTTCAATCTACATTTAGTTGGAAAAAAAAATCCATGTATAAGTGGACCAACACAGTTCAAACCTGTGTTGTGCAAGGGTCGACTGTATTTAATGCATCAGTTCAAAAGGTCAGTGGAAAACCAGGTACTATCTAAATATTCTGTCCATTTTTGGAGCTATTTATGTTTTACAATGAGCCTCTCCCCTGTAGACTCTTCTTAGATCAACTCTATAGAGTATTTATTTATTAGGACTAAGGAATTATTTGTGTGTGCATATAGTTGGTCCAAAAAGTAAACCACTGTCCCAAACAGGGCCAGAATCATTTTCTGGTGTTGACATTCTGATGCTGCGAAAAAGAAATGCTCTCATTCTCCAGAGGTTACTGATCTTAGTGTACTGAATACCTTCCATTTGCTCCTTTAAATCTACCCTCCAGCCCTCTTCAGGACAGTCTGTGCTTTAGGAGGTTGACCTGTGTGGAGTACACCCACATGCTATGGGGAGCACTGGCAGGTAAATGGAGCTGGGGAGATGGCGGTGGAATGCAATCTGACTTATCTTGACAGAGCTCATGTCAGGGGGCCCTTTTGGTCTCTGGTTTCCATAACTGCTATCATCTCCCCTCATCCCTTCAGGCTTAGAAGTGGTAACATCTGCCCACCAGGCTATTTCTGTAATACTCTGTATATGTGCACTATAATATCCTTTGTGGTATTTTTACCCATATCTCTGTAAATAGTCTCTATTAAGGTCTCCTCAGATCCCTCAATCTGAAAGGCCTGCCTTTCCTCTTGGGACCCTCACTGATACGGTGAGGTGGCAGGTGATCATTTCCTAGCCATGCAGCAGAACAGGAATGTCTGCAGTAGAAGCAAATAAGAGAGAAGAGTGCAAGTGAAGAGAGAAAGAGAGTCCTGGTGCCATGGCAATTTGGATTCCAGTCCTGGAGACCCTCATTTCTACAGCTTTTCCTTCCATTCCATGAGTTACTTTAGTATACTCCATGTCAAGCAGGCAAGCAACAGGAAGTGAATGAGTGTTTAGATCATTCTGAATTGGGTTTTCTGTTACTTGCCATGAAGTATATGAGGGTAGTTCGTGGCTTATGAAACTGAAACATCCAGAGGTAGGTGGGTTTCAGAATTAGTGGATCTAGTAGCTTGACAATGTCATCAAAGACCTTGTTTGCTGTCCAGTGTCAGCTTCCTTCTAAGCCTGGTTTTCTGCATAGTTGTAAAAAGGCGGTTGTATCCTTCCCTCTTACATTTGGTAGGAGATAGATAGTTGCTTCCAGAAAATTCTTTCCTTGAAACCCTCAGCAAATCTCTCCTTGCTTCCCATTGGCCCACACACTGTTACATGCTTCTCACTGAACCAAAAACAGTAGGCAGGAGGTGAAATTATGCTGATTAGTGTAAACCTGTGCCATAAGCTGGGTCCCTTGAATCTGGTGAGGTCAGTTTGCCAAAAGTGCGTGGGCTTCTGGGTAGGGATATAAGGAGGAGAATGGATGATGAACAATTAGGGGAGTTACTAAGAGAAAAGGAAATGGATATTGGGGAGATAACTCAATGTCTTCTATACTTTCCCAGTTACACAAGTCAATAGTTTATTTCCTGCTTAAACTGTTTTATGTTAAGTTTCCTTCTTGTCTTAAAAAAGCCTTAATACAACTGGGAAGCTCTGCCATTTACTAGCTGTGTGACTTAGGGCATGTCACACAAGCTATTTAAGCCTTAGCTTCTGCTTTTGTAAAATTAAGATTAGTAATATCTCCCTACCTGACAAGGTTGCTGAGAAGCTCAGATGAGATGAGAGATACGAAAACGCTTTGGAAGCTATAAAGAGCTGAACAAATGTGAGGGCTCTATTTTTAAAAATTTTATTGTATTGTGATAAGAACACTTAACATGAGATCTATTCTCTTTAAGTGTATAGTACAGTATTTTTATCTGTAGGTACAGTAGCATTGCTCTTGCCATACCCTGGAGAGTATATTGTTCTCTCTAGTGAGCAAATTAAATACTCCCACCTGACTCAAAAATGCTAAATTGCTAACAACCTCCCTAAGGTTTTAACCTCTTCCCTTAAGAGACTTCCCTCTGAGCTGCTAAGAGCTAGAGCTGGATTGAATGAGAGGCATTTCTACACTGCTCTGACAAAGAACAAAAATGGTCATTCTGGTCAGTCATTCTAAAGGTACTTATTAAGCACTTTTTGGTATCTCCTACTATGCTAGATAAATATAATCATAACAAACAGTGTAAATTATCACAGGGAAAGCAGCCTTTTGTGCAATTTAAGATTAGTCAAGCAACAAACATTTGTTGTGCTATCTTCAAGGCATTATGGGAACTCCTATCAATGTAAGGACTTTTATGAGTTGACTGTGATAAGGAGGAAAGCATTGAAGGAAATGATCATATGGTTAGAAAATTTGACAGGATGGGTTTTGAAAGTGGACTAAAGAGAGCTTAGGACACCTGTGAAATTTGATATTTCCCATTCTAGCCACCTGGAGATGAATATTTTACTTTGAGAAAACAGTAACTGCGTTCAATTTAATAAAAATAGCTTTCAGTAATCAAAATAACATGGAGATATGGAAAAAGATGCTTCCTTCCTGCAACTGCCCCAAGCTGTTAGAGTTAACTACACTGAATACTCTCAGAATCTAAGGCCATGGTGGTTCTACATCATACAGGGTTTGTAAACGTTGGAGAACATATTCCAAATACATTTCCTCTCTCTTGCCCTGTCCCATTGTAGGGTACCTCAATGAGTAAGAAAATGGAGTGATTACTCCTATGTATTTTGATAAAAAGTGACATAGCCTCCAACACCTTCATGACCCACTGGCATAAGACAATGAATATTGAGTACCCAAGGGCTTGCACTCTTCTCATTCAATGCTTTCTCCCATCATACCAGAGAAGTTCAAGGAATAAGTAAGTAACTTATTGGTCCACAACCTCAGAGCCAGTACATAAGCCTGGATCCTGTGGTTCTAAATCCAGTTTTCTTTTCCACTGTTCCAGAGCTCCTTATTCTCCCCCTAAACCCCAATAGGAATATTTGGGAAACATGAGTTGACCTTCTGTTATGCTTAGGACACTATTATAGAACTATGAGATAAACACATGTTCATATATTTATACACATTTTTACTCTAGTTAGGAGGACATATCCATAAAAGGATTAAGAGAATAAAGTACCATATGCTTAGTGCCAAGTGAATGAGTGATTTAGACAAGTAAATCATGGCAAGGAATGTGTTGCTAATAATAAAAAAGCAAATTTTATGAATTATTTACCTTTAAAGCAGATCATAAGGATAATAAATACATTCTCATTAATTTGCATTTCAGTATGCTTTCTTAAATTTGGGACAAGGGGGTAGAACTATGACATTACCAAGAAATTACAATAAATAATTTACAGAAAACAGTAATTTCACATGTAAAGCTAATCTAGTGGGTTTTTTTTTTTTCCCTATGGGGTTGGGGAAAAGGCTGAGAATAATTAATTTATACATAGAACTTTGGAATTTCCTAATATAGACAATTATTGAAAGCTGATGATTTGAGAAATTTCTATAGAGGACATGAAAGTACAACTGCATCTTGATTGAAGTAGAATTTAAGCAGACTGTAGAGAGATTGTAGGGACTCTGAGAAAGGTTTCACTCTAGGCCCTAGAAAGGGTAAGTAACTATGTGATTTAGAGGAAGGGAAACTAACATTGGATAAATGGTTTACTATATACTTGACGTATATTATCTCATTTAATAAGATAATCTATAATTTTCCTTTGAATTCTTAAAAACAATTACATTCTAGATACACAGAATTGGAAAAGTCCAAGAGCTGTTGGCATAACAGGAGGAGGCCAGTCTAAGTAAGATGGAAGATTGTTGTAGAAGAAGTAGTAGAAAGAAGAGTCTTACAACATAGAGATTCAGAGCAAGAGCTGGGTTTGACTTTTAGCTCCATCACTCAGTGGCTTTGTGACTTTGGGCAAGTCACATAATCTCCCTGTGCCTTGGTATTCCTGTATATTAAAAGGTAATAAAAGTAGATCCTTCTTCATAGGCTTGTTGTAAATGAGGTAGCACGTGTAAAAACATATGACGGGGGCTGGAGTGCTGGCTCACGCCTGTAATCCTAGTACTCTGGGAGGCCGAAGAGGTCAGATTGCTCAAGGTCAGGAGTTCAAAACCAACATGAGCAAGAGCGAGACACCGTCTCTACTAAAAATAGAAAGAAATTAATCGGCCAACTAAAAATATATAGAAAAACAAAAAATTAGCCGGGCATGGTGGCGCATGCCTGTAGTCTCAGCTACTTGGGAGTCTGAGGCAGGAGGATCGCTTGAGCCCAGGAATTTGAGGTTGCTGTGAGCTAGGCTGACGCCATAGCACTGTAGCCCGGGCAACAGAGTGAGACTCTGTCTCAAAAAGAAACAAACAAACAAAAAAAACGTATGACAAGGATTGACTCATAGGGTGCACTTAGTGGACACCAAGTGGATTGAGGAAGAGACCAGAGGCCCAGACCCTAGCCTGCCGTTAAGGTGAGGTAAACATCAAAAAGGCAGTCTTTGACTCTGGTGGTGATGTTTGCCTATGGCAGTAGCACAGCCTTTCCAAACATTTAAGTCTGGGAAACTTTTGTGGGTAGACTGCTGAATTTTTTTCCATCTCCACATCAGAAACAGAGAAGGCTTATATTATAATAATAGCTGGTATGATGAGTTCTTTTAGGATAATAAATCTTCAACATCTACATACTGTGTTCACATATAAAGTATTTCACATCTTTTTGTCATCTAATTACTACTGTGCAAATAATTAGGAACCATGGAGTCAGAGTTCTAGTCATTCATTCAACACATATTTATGCAGCATTTGCCATGTAATAAGCTCTTTGCTGGGTCCTGGGAAAATTATGGTAAAGGGAAACAGGAATGGCTTCAGTTCTCATAGAAGGTCCAGTGGAGTGGAGAAGGGAGATAAAGTAAACAGGCCATTACTGTCCAGGGTGATAAACGTTTTGCTGGGGGAAGTATGGGCTACTGTGAGTTGCTATAGGAAGTATTGCTGACCCAGTCTGTGGGGAGAGTCCAAATAAAATATATTTTACCTCCTGAAATAAAGTGATCTAAATGGATATCTGAGAGATAAGTAGGAGTTAGCCAAAAGGATGCCTGAAATTTTGCCCAAGTCAAGACTAGCTTGCTTAAATAGTGAGCTCCTGCTGAGGAGTAGTGAAGAAAATACTGCATTAGTAGGGCAGGGTCTCTGGTATAGGAATTTAATTCCTGACAGCTGAGGATAAGACAACAGCTTGTTGCCTGGGCCCCAGAGGTGACTAAACAGTAATATAGTGAAACTGACCTAGAGAAGGCTCTCAAAAGGTGACCCAGAGAAACAAAAGAACAAGAAGAAAGTGAGATTAAGGGATAGTTCATCTCTCAGGTCATAAACGTGCACAAAAACAAAGGGTGGTATAATGGAAAAAACAAGTGTCGGATAACCTAGAATCTGATCTTGGCTTGGCCATGAGCTCCCTTTTAGGATGTGATGTTGGATAAGAAATTTTCCCTCTCTGAGGCTCTGGTTTCTCCATCTGTAAGATATGTGAGTTGGACTGTTTGAAATGAGACAAGCAAGGAATGCTACAGCGCAGAAAGTGAAAGTGGTCAGACAGCAGAATAGTATTGCAGTTCAGCAACATGGGCACTCAAGCCACAACCTGGCCAAAGCACAGAGGAATTTAGAACCTGATGTTGAGCAGGTGAAGTCACTAGCTACCAATACTACAAAGGGAGCTAACTTTTCTAGTGTATGCTCACTTCTCTGGTTATTTATTGCAGACTTTCAGAGGAAAGCAGACTGTGAATTTGCTTGGTTGCTGGTCCCTTTCCTGTACTAGGCACCATTCTGCTCTCCTCCTTCTGTTATAGGGAACTCAGAAATGGTATTTGAAAAAATGGTCTTGGAGCAACAGAACCCAGACCAAAGCTAATTGATTGCGAATGGTGGCACTTCAGGTCCCAGTGGGGGAATGATCTTTAGAAAACTATAGTGGACATCAATCATTTTGTCCACCTAGTACCCATCCTTTCTTCTTGGAACAGTACCCCACTACTTTTTGAACACTGATTCCCCCACTTCATTCATGTATTAAATAGTTCCAGTAGGGCCTATAAATCATAGTATCTCTCATCCTCAGCACAGGGATGAATATATCACTTCAATCCAGGGCAAAGAGAAATTTTGCAAACTGGAGGTAAGGGAAAGGGCTTAGTCCCCCTCAGATGGCAAAACTGTGACATGGAGCTAGAAGCTATTAATGGCCTTATCTCTCACTGTGTGGAGGAAGCCAGTCTGTAGTCCATAGGCTGACCCCCAGAGAGGAGAAGTAGGTGGGACAGGATGGGAAGTGGGATGGGAAAGGGGATGACAACAAGAATGCAATTTGCCTTGTGGCATTATTGTGCCTACTTCCAGTTGTTCTGGAGGCCTAGCTATAACTTTTCCCTAACTCATGTGAAATAATAAGTTTGTCTTTGACATTTTGGGATTTTTGTTCTTACAATCTGACCCAGAAATCTTTAGTTTTCTGCTAGAGATGACTAGTTATTATGTTCAGAAATAAGGTCAGTCCTGATAGTCTTGTACCCCTTGTAGTCCAGGTTCCCTGAAACAGCCTCTTCTCATATGTTTATCAAGCAATCAAGTAATACTTGATAAATACAAGTTTATCAAGTAATGCTTCTTAATAACACTTCTAAATTGCTCCTCACAATGACCCTTTGAGGTGGGCAGGGTGGGAGGTTATCTCCATTTTGCATCAAGAATACTGGGGTGAAGTGACTTGCCCGAAGTCACATAGTTAGAGGTAGAGCAAGGTCATGAACCTAGGACATGGCTACTGCTCTTTTCATGAGGCCAAGCTCTCTGTCCACTTAGGCAAGAGCATTGGAGTGGCTCAGAATATGTTGCTCATTCATTCAACAAATACCACGAGCCTGTTCTACAGCCAAGCACCATTCTAGGGCCCAGGATACAGTGTCAAATGAGACACAGCCTCTGCCTTCACAAAGCTAATAATCTAGCATGCATATAGACTAGTAAACAGGCAATTAGAATACAGTGTGGTAAATGCCATGCTAGAGGGAGTCCTTCTGCAGCAGATAGGAGAGATACTAAACCTGTTAGGAAAGGATTCTCAGCAGGGCCACTGCAAGTCCATATAGCATCTTTTTGTGAATGGGGGGGGAGGGGGGAGAGGTGCCCTTTCCTCAAAACACCAACTGCCAGGAAATTGTCATAAAAATATGTAAATCTCTTATATCTATCCTGGGATGGGCACACTCTAGGTATGTGTAGCATGGACCCAATACAAACTGTGCGTGGCACACTGCTTCCCAAAGAAATAACATTTAAGCTGAGATCCAAAGAGACATACCTGTAGACCTCAGGCATTTCCAAAAATTGGATCTACTGCCAAACATGCCATTATTTATTTAAGTGGCACAGCTCTCCTGTGGCTGCTCTTGTGTCCTAGCTGACACCACCATCCCTTTTCCCTTTGTTTCTGTCTGATCTCCCATGGAGCAGAGTACTCTCCCCCTGCAGGTCATTCAATCTCCCTAGACCTGTTTGTCTACCAGGGACTAGGTTGAGAGTTAGTGTTTCTGGACTGTAGCCCTCAGTGATGCTTAATTCAAAAAGGAAGAAACCCCAAGAGAAAACCTGATCCTCTCTGAGAGGGCCTGGCTTGGAAGATTAAGTATCTGAGGGCCTGGGGATCACACAGCCTTTTCCTGATTGGCTGCTAATTATGTCATTCCCTTGACTGCAGGGTTTTTTTGTTTTGGTTTGTTTTTTTATCCACGGCATTTTCTTAACTCAGTAAGAAAAATAAATAATAAGGGAGCATGCAACCCTGTTGTTCTTAGAATCCTAAAATAGTAGGACTAGGAAAAAAAACCACAGATGCTTTCCCCTCCCAGCATTCTCATCTACGTGAAAATAAACTGCAAATGCAGATTTAATGGGGAGTAAAAATGGTTTGTTTTTACAAGAGAAAACTGGCAGAGTATTTGGTGAAGAACGGGAACAGTTTCATCCTCATTGCTTTAGTGACATTGAGGGTTCATGTGTTGATGGAATGTATATGAATCTCAGATCTTTTAGAACCAGCTGACTATTTTCCTTTCCCAATCATCTGTAACTCTATATAAGAGCTGCAGAGTCACATTTCAATGCCTTGTATGTCTTGATCAGGAAATTACCTCCACGTTAGAGATGTTACTGGCTCCCATTCCCAGACTGTACTGCCTATCATAATGGCTTGTTATGATTACGTTAGGTTAGGTTATTAGGTTATGCTATGTATATTATGTTTATATTATATTACATTACATTATATTGTTCCTGGGTTCCCAGGAAATTCTTTTCATCTTGTTCTTCTGTTTCATGCCAGGCTTTTCCAAGATTATTTTAAGGAAGCTTGTTAGAATCCTAGACTGTTCGAATGGAAGAACTTTAAAGAGTGTCTGGCTTAGCTCTGCAGATTACAGCCAAGGAGCACAGGCCTGGAGGGGCATTTAGTGACAAAGGTCAGCCAGAGAGTTAGAGGCAGAGCTTAAGTATCATGTCCAGTGTTCTTTCTACTACTGACACTATGAGTTTTTTTTGTTTGTTTGTTTGTTTATTTGCCAAGTGATTAGATTGGGATGAATTTTGGCATGGTTCTGAAAAGCCTGCTGTCTCTTACCTCTTCTAGCTACAAATCCCTTTTCTATTTCCTTCCTCTTTCCTCTTTTCTCTTGAATCTCATCCAGGAGCCACAACAGGTGTTGGGCCTGCTTCTCAATAAATCCTGAATCTTGGCTGGCAGCATCCTGGGGGTGGAGCATGCCCTCGCACCACCCAGTGGGCTGCCAGATTAGTTGAAGGTCTCTCCAGTAACCTCCAGGGCCAATTCTACTAAAAAGCTCCTTCTTCCTTGGAGCATTCAGTGACTGGCATTGGAACTCTTCAGAAGTCTGCTCTGAGTTCCCCAAGTATGAGGAATATTTTATTGCAAATTTACTTAACTTCTCTACAGATTGTTTTCTTTTGTATTAAGCTTGACACAGGGTTAATATACAATGGAAGCTATTAAAACATGCCTATTATTGACAATGATGGTAATAAAAGCTCACCTGATCACCCCAAACCTTCCCAGAGTAGCCCTTTTTAACTTCATTGAGTCCACTGTAGATGATGGGGCTGCTGCAGTGCCAAGTGCAATACCTTTTATACACTCAATAAAAATTTGTAATAAATATGCATAATGGGCTTATTTTGAGCTTAAATTATGTCCACTTTTGTAATTCACACAGGTGTGGGCATCTGCAGTGTGGCAGCCATGGGGAGTGTGCTGCTCAGAACTCCCACGGATAGAGCCTGCTGGGGGAGTGTAGTTAGCTGCCAGGCCCTAGCAGCAGCACCTTCGGATCTCCTGCAGCATTTACATCCCGGTCATGCTCTCTCTAACCTTCTCTCTGCCACTGACTGTGCCCTAGAGACATATTAAAGCCAGACCATTCCTGCCCAACATGGGGCTCCCCTAATAGTCTCTGCTCTGTGGCTCCCCTTCAGCCTGGCTGAGACTTTCTCAGAGCTGCATTGAAGTCTGAAGCTCCTCCTGCCCAGTCCTTCTTCCTTCTCTCTCTTTTTTCACTGATGTCAGACCTGCATCACAATCTGAGGCTTTCCCACTTGTTCTTGCTCCCTCTTCTCTTTATCCTTCACAGGTGTTTAAGCCAAAAAATTTCTTGTGCTTCTTTTTAAAAAAAAAATTTTTTTTTTTAGAGACTGGGTCTTGTTATGTTGCCCAGATAGGACTCGAACTCCTGGCCTCAAGTGATCCTCCCACCTCAGCCTCCCAAAGTACTGGGATTACAGGCATGAGGCACTGCGCCCAGCTTGTACTTCTTAGTCTTGGCATCTGCTTTAAGTCTCTCCTGGGAGGGAGCTCATCCTAAGGAAAGTGAGAAGGTAGGGAATGTGGATCCAGTAACAGAATCTTTAGAATCAAAGAGGAGTGAGTTCAAATTTAACATTAGGTTTATCATGCAGATTTGTTTCTGGGCCTTGCTCTGGCCCTATCTCAACCTACCATTGGCTCATGCTTAGTAATTTGTAGAGAGGAAATGGGGATTAGGAAAGAATCAGCAAAATATAGAAGATTTGCTTTACTGAAACTCTGAGTCAAAGGGGCATAAATAATACCTATTAGAGCTGGGCGCGGTGGCCCTCGCCTATAATCCTAGCACTCTGGGAGACCAAGGTGGGCGGATTGCTCTAGGTCAGGCGTTCCAAACCAGCCTGAGCAAGAGCGAGACCCCATCTCTACTATAAATAGAAAGAAATGAATTGGCCAACTAATATATATAGAAAAAATTAGCCGGGCATGGTGCAGTAGGATCACTTGAGCCTAGGAGTTTGAGGTTGCTGTGAGCTAGGCTGACACCACGGCACTCACTCTAGCCTGGGCAACAAAGCGAGACTCTGTCTCTAATAATACCTATTAGAAGCTCATGTGACAAAGTATAGCATGATGTGGGGAGAGAGAGGTAGTCTTCTCCCTTCTGTACGTTTCATATAATGGACTCTATGTACTGAGAACTCTAGAAGGGTCCATGTCATCTGGCATCTCATCAAGACAACATGTGAAAATCACTCTCTGGGCCTCTCAGAAATTAAGAGGACCATTTCTTAAGGAGCTAGGACCTTTCGTTAATAGGTGGAGGCAAGAGGTTGTGAAACTATATATACATTTGAATCAAGAGCTGAAAGGAACTATAGAGATCATGAAGTCTGTTGGTTTTAAACTATGTTTCATAGCAATCCTCAAGGGCTTGGGGGAAGGAGGGCTACAGATGAAATATATATGTTTGGTAGTTCAAAGAAGGGAGAGATTAATTTAATTTGATGCAAGAGGGTACTTAATAAAAGTAAAGGGATAAGCAGATGAAATTAATCCATTTTGGTCAAATGGCTAATAAATGGAGGAGCTAAGATAAGAATCCTGATTTCTCGGCTTCTTATGTGACTTCATGTGGGACTTTGGCTATTACTTTTGCAATGTAGTGACTGTAAGCAAATTACTCAAAATGGAAAGCACTTGGGGGTCACAGTGTATGTTTTGTGTCTGTATTTCTACTCCTGGGAAAAAGGCATATTGGATCTGCCTTTTGGATACAACTGGATGACTCTAAACAAGTATGCTTTTCCCTGAGTCTGGTTTTCATTATTTTTTGTATCCTCAGGCTCACAAGTCAGCTGGGACAGGGATGCTGACAGAAAGGCCCAGTGGAAAAAATATGTTTGCTTCTAATTTAGAATAAAAACAACCACACCCCACAGATCAAAACCCATGGAAACTTCCATCACACTGAAGCTCTGTATACAGTGGCATTTCTAAAGGAGTTCTAAGAGATACTTAATATGCTCCTGAAATAGGGTTCAATATCAAATATAATACTTTTGGGCTATATTCTATGTTATATCCCTGTCTTGGAGAGTTGATGTTGCACATAGAAAAGTTTCAGAAGAGCTCTGCAAAAGATGTCTATTTAACCTTAACCCAGTGTTTCATAAACTTGCTTGTTGTTGGAAACTTTTATTCATGGAATATCTATTATCATCATACTTGGGAAATGCTGAGGTAAAGACCATTGGCTGGAAACAAAGGAACTCTGGATTGTGGACCTGGCTTTGCTACTGACTTGTATTTTTTACTCTTCTTTGAACTTCAGTTTCCTCATCTGCAAAAGGAGAAGGTTAGAATCAATGATCATTTGAGGCAGAGTCTCATTCTGTTGCCCAGGCTAGAGTGCAGTAGCATCATTATAGCTTATGGCAACCTCAAACTCCTGGGCTCCTGAGCTCAAAGGATCCTCCTGCCTTAGCCTCCCAAGAAGCTAGGACTACAGATGCATGTGACCATGCCAGGCTAGTTTTTCTATTTTTTTTTTTTAGAGATAGGGTCTCACTGTGTTACTCAGGCTGGTCTCGAACTCTTGGCATCAAGCAATCCTCTTACCTCAGCCTCCCAAAGTGCTAGGATTACAGGTGTGAGCCACTATGCCCCGGCAGATTCTTGATAATTTTTGAACAAGGAGCCCCACATTTTCATTTTATACTGGTACCCATAAATTATGTAGCTGGTTCTATGTACCATTGTCTCTACTCTTCGTATCAGTCTAATCAGAGTGTGTGTATATTATTATTTGTGATATACAGACATAAAAACTAAGAATCAAAGAGGTTAAATAAATTGCTCAAGGTCAATAGGAAGTGAATAGTAGAGCCAGGATTTCAGTCTAGTCCATTTGGCTCTAAAGCTTTTGCTCTTCCCACTATACCAGCTGCCAGTGCAAACATTCTATGACTCTACAATTCTTTTGTTTTTTAAACTACCACTAGATCTGTCTCACTGTTTAAGTAACAGAGAATAACTGTGTTAATCCCATTCACTGTCTGAGTGCATGTCTGGCCAAATGAATTAATGAGTGATGGACTAGATGGCAGTGAATGAGTGGCTAGGTGACAGGGTGTAAATGGCTAAAGAAGTCAGACATGGAGTCCAACAAACCTGGTTCTGCCATTTACTAGCCATGTAACCTTGGGCAACCTATTTGACTTCTCTAAGTCTCAGCCTACATACGTATGTTGTTAGGATTAAGTGATATAATGCATTGCCTAGGCAGGCGTGGTGGCTCACTGCCTGTAATCCTAGCACTCTGGGAGGCCGAGGCAGGCAGATGGCTCAAGGTCAGGAGTTCGAAACCAGCCTGAGCAAGAGCAAGACCCTGTCTCTACTAAAAATAGAAAGAAATTAATTGGCCAACTAAAAATATATAGAAAAAATTATCCAGGCATGATGGTACATGCCTGTAGTCCCAGTTACTCAGGAGGCTGAGGCAGAAGGATTGCTTGAGCCCGGGAATTTAAGGTTGCTGTAAGCTAGGCTGACGCCACAGCACTCTAGCCCAGGCAACAGAGTGAGACTCTGTCTCAAAAAATAAAATAAAATAATGCATTGCCTAACACATGGTAATCCCTCAGTAAAGTATTACTATTCTTTTTGTTTGTTTATTTTTGTTTATTTTTTTTTTTGAGACAGAGTCTTGCTCTGTTGCCCAGGCTGGAGTGCTGTGGCATCAGCCTAGCTCACAGCAGCCTTAAACTCCTGGGCTCAAATGATCCTCCTGCCTCAGCCTTCTGAGTAGCTGGAACTAGAGGCATGTGCCACCACCATGGCTGGCTAACTTTTTTTTTTCTATTTTTAGTTGCCCAGCTAATTTATTTCTATTTTTAGTGAGGCAGGGTCTCATTCTTGCTGAGGCTGGTCTCAAACTTCTGACCTCAAGGGATCTTCCTGCCTCAGCTCTCAGAGTACTGGGAATATAGGCCTGAGCCACCACTCCCAGTCCTACTATACCATTTTTTTTAAGGAGGACCTAGGGAATCTACTATTCTTTTATTAACCTGGTCAGGCTAGATTTGCTTTTGTGGTATCAGCTCCAAATATTGTAACTCATTTGATTTGTTCAATAACAAGCATAAGAACATTATATTTCTTTACTTTTTTTCTAATTCAAATCAAAGTTTTATTGTCTAATTTGAATCCAATTAAATTTAACTTTATCCCACCTGTTAAGTTGGTGGAACATATAATTTCAGAGCTTTTGTGGGCAAACCCCCAGGGCTTTCCCAATCTAGAAAACCTGGATACCATCTTCAGTCCACTGTAGTTGTGAGGAAGATGCTCATTGTCAAGCAGTTGTGAACCAGAGGTGTATGGCCCAGTTGCTCAAGGTGTTTATTCCTTCCATTGTAAACTGGCCACCAAGAACTCCTGCATGGCTCCCAAAGCCGTGGTTTGGTGTTTATACCCCAGGTGTCCTTGTAGTCATCACTGCCCGAGATACTGGCAGAGCACTGGGAGAGAGCTGAGTGCAGGTCCCCACCACCCCTTCATCCTCCAGGTTTTGTAGAATCCAGCTCTGGGCCCCTTTCATCCTCAGAGCTTTCTGTCTCCCAAACAATCTAACTTTGGAAACAGAGACCTTCAAATGTTTTTCCCCTAACATAAGAGAAGCCTCCCAATCTATAAAGGGACTGTCTTTCCAAATAGTGCATAGAGGAAAATTTCCTTTAAGTCTTTTTTACTAAGTCCAAAGTAGAAATAATTTAACAATTAATTCAGTCAATTACACAATGTTCTCAAACATTTTCATCTTCCACAAAGGCTCTCATGATCCCTTTCTCCCTTGGCCACTATATTTCACATCTGAGCCTATGTGTCATATCTTTACTACAAACTGGGGAAGTAGGGAAAGGGGAAAATGGCAGAACTAGACATTATGTTGCTGATTCTCTACATTGCTAGGTGAGAAATGTCACAACCATTTGGAATTCCACATTTTAGATCTTTAGAATCCCTTGGAACAATGAGAACAGTGGGTGGAAAACACAGGCTTTGGAAGCCTTGATTTAGGGAAGTAAGTTTATATGTAATGGCACAGAGGGGTTGGTGCTAGGATATTGGAACAGGCTAGGACACTGCTGTGCCTAGAATAGTTAAAAGAGAAGGAAGCAATGTTTTTCCCCTATTGTGTAGACAATTATGCTGGGTGTCTGCCAGATCAAGGGCAAAAGTCTACGCTTTAAAATAGCAGCACAGCTGTAGACCTGTAGTGCTGGGCCCTCTAGTGGCTAGTTATGACTAGTTCAATGACTATAATATACACTGCTGGTCTCTATCACTGCTTTGTCTTCTTTTTGGTTTGCTAGAACCACTAACTGCCTCCATCTATATTGTATCATCACATGCCTCTATCATTACTGACACCGACTTTGGAACAGGCTCAGTGTTAGGGAACAGTTCCTGAGGGAGAGATTGATTCCCTTGGAAACAGACGGAGGTGGAGAATTTCATGTGGGTTTTTGGGAGAGTGCTCTAGGGAAATAAGGAAGTAAGGGAGGAAGCAGGAGTGGGCAGAGGAAAAAGTGAACTCACAATGTGGTTGCAGTGGGAGCCTCAGCTGTCCTACAGGGAGTTCTGGAGCTGAGATGGCCCTTCAGAGTTGTCCCAAATAGAGGTCATGGACCAGACCTTTGGATCCCTGCATCAGTCCATCATTGATTGTGAGCCACCCCCAGGAGGGGGTGTAACTTTGGTGAGACAGTTCCATGTGGTCCAGGGAAGTGTGCAGTGCAGGATATGGTTGTTCAGCAAATACTAGTTTTTCTTCCCTTTCTCTTTCCTGTTCACTAATTTCTGACTCTCTTATTCCCAGGAGTTCATTCTCCATCACAGTTTAACCACTGCCCGGATGGTTCTCAGATTTCATCCAGGCAGATCACGTTCTGGGTCTCTTAGTAGCACCTGAAAGAGGATTCTTTTTCCTATACAAAGTTGGCTGAAAGCTTTGCTTTGTCTATTTTTCCTATCCCTAAACCAATATCTTGGATATTACCATTCCAATGAGAAGAGAAATCAGACTCACCAATACCAGAAAGAAAATGAGCAAAAGCCACGCTCCCAGGACAGGCTTCGTTATACCCAAAAGGCTTCCACCTTTACTCCCTGCCCCTCTCCCCCATTGAAAATATGATCTAGAGTAGCAGCATTTCTTCCTTCCTGTTTGTTCCTGTAAATGTTTTTATTTTGACTAGTGCTAGGGGGAGAGTGAGGAGGGTACGTTGAAGACCACTAGCTGTCCACTAGAACCTATCCGCTTCTTTTTCCATAGTAATAGACATTTGGCTGGGATATGACTACTCACATAGGCACCTCGTTTGCCAGGTCCCCTTCTAGAAAGTTGTGGCCATGTTGACTAAGCCCCTGTCAATGGATCTGAGTACAAGAGATGTATGCAAGTTTTGCCTTGCCTTGCTTACCTCCTTAAATCTCTAGCCCTGGACTTGTATTCTTTCTTTCTTCTCACTCACCAGAAATGTTTCAACAAGAGTGACCTTGGAAGCTTCATGTTGAAGACTGGCAGTCAGTATCCAAGGTCCCTGAAGGACTGAGCAGAGCCATCCACCTACTTGGAACAGTGGCCTTGGACCATATTACATTGGACCTTCTAATTGAATCCTACCAGTTCCTCATATCCTACAACAAATCCCACTTCCTCCAAGAAATATCCATGGTATCTGTCCTTGACCATTGGTATCTGTCCCCCACAATTTTTGGACGTTAACTATATTATTTCCTACTTGATTCTATTTGGTGTTATTTTGTTTTTGTTCTTTATTTGGTGCATGCCTCTTGTCTCTCAAATTAGAAGGAGCTCTCAAGATGTGACACTCCACTTCTACTCCTGTTTCCCCAACAGCAAGCACAGCTGTAATGGACGCTGATGGGGCCCCACACAAGCCCCCTTCACCAGGCTGCTGTGTTGGCTGCCATCAGCTCAGCGCTGCCCCCTTCCCCAGAGATTTGTCCTCAGCCAAATGTGAGCACACCTGGGAGGTTAAGTGCTCCTGTAGCAGCCAGCAGCCAATAACTGACTGATGGGGGGGGGAAGGAAAAGATAGCCACAAAAGGTAGGGCAGATTCTGTGATGAAAATTGAGCTTCAGAACCTTCCTGAGGAACCAGGCTGTTGCTAATCTCCAATGAAGATCACTTCCTTGCTTAGCTTTCTTCCACTGGTCTGGCCTGCAATAGCTCACAGCTGCCACCTTTCACAGAATTGTCCTCAGCTGACAGTTATCACTCTCCTTACAACTCTCATTTGTTCCTGACTCCCTGGCAGGGTGGCCCGATGACTGACTGCTTTGGTGATAGAAAAAGGCCAGCAAAGATGCCTCAGGGAAGTGTAATTCTACCATGTGGTTTACACCCCCTGCGTAACAGTTCCCTGTGGGTCAGCCAAAGCTAGACATAACCTGAGACACACTTTGACCCTTTCCTTTCCTTTCCTATCTACTTCACTCTCTCCTTTGCAGGTGTTTCCTGAAAAGCACTCCCCATCAATAAATGCCTGTGTCAGGGTCTGTTTCTAGGAGACCCAACTTCAAACCACTGAGGTTACTACTCTGCCATCATTTTCCCAAATCACTTTCTCCTTCATTTTCTGGGGACTGCTCAGATCCATGCTCTGGACTGTGTATGCCGTGGGACCTAAGTTGGGTGGAAGGTACATAAAGGCACTAGATCAAAAACATCTGGGCTCTTGAAGTAACTATAAGGAACACCCACTACATAGGGTTGTTATGAGGACTTTAAAAACTAAATGAGTTCAAGTGTATAAAATGCTTAGACCAGTGCCTGACAGGGAGTTGAATGCTCTAAAGTATTAGTGCAGGGATTTATTTGATATTTTTTGTTTACTTATATATTCCAAGTGTGTGTAGGTGAGTGCTTGGCACATAGTAAGCACTCAATCAATATGTGTTGCATGAATGATTATTGAAGTTTTGCTTTGAGAGCTCAAGGTGATGTACTGGGATTTGGCCAGCAGAGGGCAGAACCTGTGCAGACAAAGCTCCTAGGGGCTGAGTGCGCTAGCAGGAGAGAGCTCCTAGCCAACCGGCTGAGAGGTTGCCCGCATCGAATATTAGAATGTTTACATTTTGCCCCCTTAAGATCCTAAAATTTTATCTGGTCCAACTCTGGGTGTGTGTAATGACATATGCTGAGCTTCTACTCTGTGAATTCAGAGACATTGGCCATTCCAGGTACCAAGATCCCTGAAGTTGCCCTAATATCTGTAGCTCCTCTTTTAATTTGTGAGCTGCCCCATACTCCTTTCATAAATTCCCTATGTACTTATGCTAATATAGATTGGGCTTCTGTAACTTGCAAGCAAAATAGTTCGAATTATCTTATTATTACACCTTGTGAGTGTGAGGACTGTGTGAAGGGCAGCCCCCTCCCAGATGGGGACACTGAAGTCATAGCATAGCCACATCCGGCTTGCTCCCTGCTTGTCTCCCCAACTGAACTGCTCTCTCCAGGAGGGTATCACCCCACATTTCTGCCTCCAAGCTTCCCTTCATTCACTCACCCTGCTTAGATCTGTCCTATCTTTCAAGCCCAGTTCAAGTTCTGCCTCCCTCTGACTCTAGATCTACTTGATCTCATTTCTCAAGATCCTTATAGCATTCATCACTTGACCATTCATTCTTACATTCAATTGCATTTCATATTTTATTTGGGAGTTTGGGTTAGGTGGTCTCCAAAGTCCCATCAGCTATAGACTTCTGAATCTGTTGTCTTCCTGTATGTCACATCTCCTTAATGGGGTCTCCACCTTCTCCCTCAAGAAGAGATGAGAAAGGGCTTGAGCACACATGAGTCTCAGCACAGGTTTACGGAGTCAACATAACTGCTTAGGGGAGCAAATGTGTTCTGCGAGCCTCCATTCAAGAAACACACAGGGATTTGTTTTTATTTTTTCAAATCAGAAGTAGCTTTTTTCCTTTTATTATACAAGTAACATACTTATGGTCAAGTAAGTCAAATATTACATAAATTTATAGAGTGGAAATGAGAAATCACCCATAATCTTATTCCTCAGAGATAACTGCTATCAAAATATTCTTTCAGAGTTCTGCTATACACAAATATGTACATTTCAGTGGAGCCTTCTGGGGACCACACGGAAATCTCTTAAATTAAAATTGGACAAAGAGAACAGTGGGTGGTTCCAGCCTGGGATATGGGGCAAGTAGTTTGTAAAGTATTCACCTACCATATTGCACATATTAGATTGAACCATATGAAACTACTAATATTCAGCTGTTTCTGACCTAGAAATACAGTGATCTCATACGGTTCAATCTAATGTATGTGAAGCCTAGAATCAGAACTGATAGGGGATTAAAGTACATTTCATCATGTCAAAGAAGAAAAAGGATCAGAGAGAGAAGTATCCAGTCTAAGATCATATACCACATTAGTGATAGAATCACGGTTGGTTCTCTTTCCACTGAACCATGCAAAGCCTTTCATACTCTTCTTCTTTTAATATAATTATCTTCTAGGTGTCATGATAATCTTCTAGAAGCATATTTCAATTTGTACCAGAAAATTTCTCATAGAACTCAATCAAAACAAAAGAGGCTGCTTTAGAGGCAGTTTAGTCCCCTTGACTGAAGATGAGGCTCGGAGGGGCCCTGTGAATTGGCTCAAGAAGCACATGAACCATGGAGCTAGTGAGATATAACATTCAGGGTTATATTGAGATATAACCATGGAGCTAATGAGATATAACATTCAGGGTCATGACTGGCATGGGCTCCTTCTTAAGGTCCTAGCAGGGGTCCTTAGCAACATACTAACATGGTGATATATTTTTGTAATATTTGCAAAAGTAAGAGCTTTTTGAATTAGTTTTCTTAAAGAGAATCCCCAGAATTATATAAGCTTCAGGCCTGGATCCACTCCAGGTGTGTGGCACCAAACTTTGAAAAGCACTAGGCAAGGAGACTAGAGGTCCTAGGCTCCAATCATGGCACCACTTCTGGCCCAAATGGGCAGTGTGGCACTTGCCCTGCTTTACTTACTCATGGGAGGGTGAACGATAGGGGTAAAAATCACACATGTTAAATGTGTTGAAATATGAACAAATATAAATAAATAATATTGCTCAGATTTCCTATCTGTGATGTGGGATAATCGTCACTACTTCTCACAGTTATTGAAGATAACACATAAAAAAATATGTCCCCAGAGCATCTTCCTGTTTCATTTCCTTCTGCTACAACTTTCTTTTCTCCTTTCTCTGACCCCCAGCCCCCCAAGATTCCAGCCACTGGACCAGTCATTGGTCATTTTCTTTTGTTACTTCTATATGTTTGTTCATGGCTCCGGCTGTTTATAAAGTCTATCTTTGCCTGGAAAAAGTCCTTATCCACAAAGCCCAGGTCTGCCAGCCCCTCTCCTTCCACCCTAGTGATGTCCTCCCCTTACCACTGTTTCTTGTTGGTATTATAGAAAGAGACACGGAGGCCTGCTGTGGTCCATAGCTGAGTTCTGGGAGCTCCAGAAGTGATCCCCAGGTGTCTTGATCTTCCACCATCCCCGGCCCTCCTGCATTAGATAATAGACACACGGTTCTTGATGTACATATGATAGGGATCACTACGCTTGTCCACTTTGCGAGAACGGGTGTATCCCAGGATGAGGCTGCCCACAGTGACAGCAAACAGGAACATGACAAAGAGAATGTACATGTAGGAGTTGTCGTCACGGCCAGATAGGCTGGCCCGCCGCTCCTCAGTCTGGTTGTCTGGCCCCGGCCCTGGCCCTGACCCTGGCCCTGGCCGGCAGAGGAAGTTGCCGTGAAGAGTGGCATTTAGAGCCTTCAGCACAGCGTGCAGGCTCTCGTACCAGGTCTCGGTCCCATTGGTGGTCTCCATAGCAACAGGGGTTGAGGTGGGGGAAGAACTGGAGGATGTTCTGGTGGGGAAAGAAAAGAGAGAGGATGGCTTCTGTTACCTGCAGCTTGCATGTCCTCCCCATTCCTCAGATCCCAGCATCACAGCTTATTCTAACTACTTGTTTACTTGTTTGTCTTCTCCACTAGACTACAAGCTCAATGAAGGCACAAATATGTCTGTTTTACTCAAGCACTTACGACAGCACTCAATAGGGGCTCAGTAAACACTTGTAGAATAAAGCCTTCCCTGACCATCGTAATCTACATTCTTCTCTCCTTTCTTTGGATTCTATAAATCACTGAACTTTAGGTTAGAAGGACCATGGGGATTATTTAACCTAACTCCTTCAATTTTTCACAGGAAACTGAGGCCCAGAGAGAATAAGTGGCTTATGTATGATCACATGGTATATTAGAGGTACAGCCAAGATAGAAACCCCTGTTCTTCAACGGTTAGCTCAGAGCTCCTTCCACTTCCATGCTAGCTCTCAGCTGGCCTGTGCAGCACCATTAGAAGACATTTTGTCAGGCCAGGCGTGGTGGCTCACGCCTGTAATCCTAGCACTCTGGGAGGCCGAGGCAGGTGGATAGCTCAAAGTCAGGAGTTCGAAACCAGCCTGAGCAAGAGTGAGACCTCGTCTCTACTAAAAATAGAAAGAAATTAACTGAACAGCTAAAAATATATAGAAAAAATTAGCTGAACATGGTGGCGCATGCCTGTAGTCCTAGCTACTCGGGAGGCTGAGGCAGAAGGATTGCTTGAGCCCAGGAATTTGAGGTTGCTGTGAGCTAGGCTGATGCCATGGCACTCTAGCCTGGGCAACAGAGTGAGACTCTGTCTCAAAAAAAAAAAATAAGAAGACATTTGTCAGAACTCTCCTTCAACACAGTTCTTTTCATGGACTCCACAGACACCACTTAGGAGATGTTTAGAAATGGCTTAGATTTCACCCTACCTGAAGGCCAGAGACTGGATCATTTGGCCTCTCAAGCATCCTATGTCCCAAACACTCTAGGTATTCCTAGCTATTTGGGGGAATTCTGCCAGAAAGAAGGTGGCCAGGGGAGCAGGGAAAGGTTGATGACCACTGCAGGCACTGGAGAGGAAAAGAACATCTGGGCTTGAGGATGGGGGAGTGAAAGGAGTGCTCAGTCTGGTTTGGGGTTTACCTGCCCCAGAGAGAGAAGACACAGGCACCTCAACTATCCTGCCTTCTGAAATAAAGTCACTATGTACCTGGCATATAATAGGTAATAATAAATGTTCCTTTTCCTTCCTCTCAGAGATCCTTAGTCTATAAAAAAAAAAAAAAAAAAAAAAATCCTAAGACAGCTCTGCATCTTTGTTTTTGAAAAACCACACGTCATTCCCTTTAAACAAGGCTCCACACTCACTTCCTTCAGGAAGCCTCCATCCAGCGCTCCCCACCCCTCAACCATACTCCACAAACTTTATCATCGCAGCCTTCCCTTCCCCCGACACTTATATGTCATGCAATGTGTGGCTGTTCTCTTATTTTTGCTAAGGATATATCACTAGACCACATGGTCCTAGTCGGCAGGGCTGTGTCTCTTCCCCAAGCCTAGGGGGACTACACTGAGTCTGGCTGGGGGTTCTTTTCTCAGGGGACTGTCATAAGACTGGCTAGGTACTCTCCTTTCCCAGGGGACTGCCCTGAGGTGGGTCAGGTGCTGTCCTTCTCTCAATAGTGTCCAGTAAAGATGTCCACTTTAAGAACTTCTCTATAGGCCAAGTGCTCACATTTCACTGACTGGTTCCAAAGCCCTCCATTTAGGGAAAACTGTCAACAAACCAAAATTAACAAACATGATTATTAGCCATGGATCTCTCCACCAGAAAAAATGATAGTTTTGACCATGATAAATATTCATGAATGAGGCCAGGTGCTGTGGCTCACACCTGTAATCCTTAGCACTTTGGGAGGCCAAGGCATGAGGATTGCTTGAGCCCAGGAGTTCAAGACCAGCCTGGGAAACATGGCAAGACCCCATCTCTACAAAAAAACTTTAAAAATTAGCTGGGCATGGTGGTACACACCTGTAGTCCCAGCTACTCAGTAAGCTGAGGCAGGTGGATCACTTGAATCCAGGAGGTCAAGTCTGCAGTGAGCTATGATTGTGCCACTGTACTACAGCTCCAGTCTAGGCAACAGAAAAAGGCCTTGTCTCTGAAAAAAAAAAGGTCATGAACAGCTGTCCAAATGCAGAGGTGATGGAGATGAATCTAAATAATACAACAGTCACCTAGAACTGGCCCACATTTCATGCAAGGCCTTTTGGTCCTCTGCCATCTAGAACTTGTACAATCTTGTCTGGATGGAGGAGGGGAACAAACACAAGAGTTCACAGAGTTAAGATCCAGGAGGCACAGGTTCTCTCACCCACTATCCCACTCTACAGGTAAGAAATGTGTGCCCTGTGTGGACCAATGGCAAGTAGCTGCATAATGAAATGAATGACTCAATGACTCCTTCAGTCAGTCATCATTTATCTAGACCAGGCCCTGTGCTGGGAGCTTGGGAGTTTATACCCAGTCCTGCACTCAGGAGCTCATCGTCAGCTCTAATACAATGCAGGGGACAAGTCAGGAGCTACTGAGGCTTAAAGAAAGAAGTGATGAATTCTGATTAGGGCTTAGAGAGTGTTCACACTGATGGAGGCATTTGAGTTGGACCTTGAGGGGTTTTTAGTAAGTCGAGAAGGCCAGGGAAGGAAGGAGATGTGAGCAAAGACATGATGACAAGTGCATAAACTGTTTAGAAGAATGGAAAGTAGCATGAAGAGATTGGAGTGTAAGATGTATAGAAGGATAAGATAGGATGTGGGACAGGAAAGACTGGCAGGACCCAGGTCATGGAGGGCCTAGAGTGCCAGGCTACAAAGTCAACTTTATCCTGTAGTTGGGGAAGAGCTATGGAATAGCTTTTTTTTTTTTTGGTAGAAACATAGTCTCACTCTGTCACCCAAGCTGGAGTGCAGTGGCAGGATCATAGCTCACTACAGCCTCAAACTCCTAGACTCTAGCAATCCTCCTGTCTCAGCTTCCCAAGTAGCTGGGATGACAGGCGCATGCCACCATGCCTGGCTGATTTTTAAATTTTTTGTAGCGATGGGGTCTCACTATGTTGCTTGGGCTTGTCTCAAACTTCTGGTCTCAAGCAATCCTCCCACCTCGGCTACCCAAAGTGCTGGGATTACAGGTGTGAGCCACCATGCCCAACCTGGAACAGTATTTTAAAGGAGGATATCACACAGAAGTAGAAACCTAAAAAAAAATAAAAAATAAAAAAAAATAAAGGAGGATAAAATGATCAGATTTGTACTTAGCAAGGACACTCTGGCTGTTATGTAGACTGAGGGGCAAAAACTGAGGCAGGGAGCCCAGCTGCAAGCGTCTTAAAATAGTTCAGGTGCAAGATGCTGAGTCCTGAGCCAGGGCAGAGGGATAACATAGTGGGCAGATGTGTGATGTGAGGAGGGAATGGCTAATATGGGGCTTGAAGGAGGAAGGGCCTCAGACAATTTTACAGGCAGATAGTGTGTCTGGAGGAGCCTATTTTGAGGGAAATAAGTCACTTTCCCTGTTTGGGCTTCAGTTTCCTCATCTATCAAAAAAGATCATCATCAGTTGTTGTACAATGGGTACAGAGTTTTAGTTTCGCAAGATGAAAAAGTTCTAGAGCTCTGTTGTACAACAATGTGAATATAGTTAACACTACAGAGTGTACACTTAAAAAAGATGGTAAACTTTATTTATGTGGTTTTTTTGTTTGTTGGTTTATTTTTGAGACAGGGTCTTACTCTGTTACCAAGGCTAGAATGTAGTGGTGTCATCAAAGCTAACTGTAGGCCCCACGCAGTGGCTCACGCCTGTAATCCTAGCTCTCTGGGAGGCCGAGGCGGGCGGATTGCTCAAGGTCAGGAGTTCAAAACCAGCCTGAGCAAGAGTGAGACCCTGTCTCTACTATAAATACTATAAATAGAAAGAAATTAATTGGCCAACTAAGATATATATATAGAAAAAATTAGCCGGGCATGGTGGCACATGCCTGTAGTTCCAGCTGCTTGGGAGGCTGAGGCAGGAGGATTGCTTGAGCCCAGGAGTTTGAGGTTGCTGTGAGCTAGGCTGATGGCATGGCATTCACTCTAACCTGGGCAACAAAGTGAGACTCTGTCTCAAAAAACAAAAACAAAACAAAAAAAACAAAAAACAAAGCTAACTGCAACCTCTAATTCCCATGCTTTAGCGATACTCCTACCTCAGCTTCCTGAGCAGCTGGGACTATAGGCATATGCCACCATGCCTCGCTAATTTTTCTATATTTTGTAGAGACAGGGTCTCACTCTTGCTCAGGCTGGTCATAAACTCCTGGTCTCAAGCGATCTTCCCACCTGGGCCTCCCAAAGTGCTAGGATTATAGGTGTGAACTACTGCACCTGGCTTATGTTATATATTTTTTACCATAATTAAAACACATAAAAAGATTATGATCCCTGCCCTGCCTCCCTCAAGGCTTGCTGTGATACATTTTTATTATGTTAAAGAAGATTTAAACAAATTTTTTTTTAATTTTTTAGAAGCAAATATGTACATACAGTTAAAAAAAGGTAACAGTACATATAATGAAGATGAAATCTTCTTGTACCTCATCATCCAGGGCTCCTTCCCAAGACATTCACTATTACCAGTGTTTTTTAGATATCACTGGAAAGGGGGTTTTAACTGATAGGGGAGAGGGAGGGCAATCTCAATTTGGAAAACTCACCAAACAGCAGGCAAATTTGCTGGGTCTGAGTCAGCTTCAGGAATTTCCTTGTGGATGCCCTAGGGCTCCTCAGTCCCTCACATGTAGGGTCTCAGTATTGACTTGAGGAGCTGGGAAGGCCAAGAGCTGGAAAGCAGCGGAGAAGGCAGAAAAGGAAGAAACTGGACTCAGAGAACAAATGTCAGAACCAGGGTGGATTGCTCAAGGCCAGGCCCCAGGCATTGTGCAATAGTCCTGCCGTGGGCTCTGACCCACTCCCGCCACCCCTCCCCTTCCTGCAGCAGCAGGGTCAGGCCAGCCTAGGGTGGCAGTTACAGGAATTATGCAGTGGCCAAGGGGCATGTGATTTCTGTCCCCCAACTCCAGGCTCACAGTGTCTTAACTGGATGACTTCATGAGAAACCTCAGTTTAACATATGGGCTCCCACTTGTGGACCAGCAAACAATACATAAAACATTCCCTTTTCTAAGGCACTTTAGCAAGCACCTTTTAGAATCACAGGGGAATGATATGAGTGGTAGAGTGGCAGTCGGCATTTGGGTTGATATTTTATATAGGAACAAATGGTATATTATCCCTCAGTCTATTTAGATAGTCAGAGTATAAACATGGTCACAGAATTAACACTATCTATAGCATGGCTTTGTTATGAAAATTAAAGAACATTATGCAGTACTTGGCGCTAGACACTCTGCAGATGGTGGTGGTTTTATTTTTGTAGAGCAGAGGCTAGAAGGGCCTTTGGAGTCCATCTAGTCTAATGCCCTCACTTCACAGTGAAAAAAATGGAAACCCAGGGAGTTGTCTTTTTCAGCTGTTACTTGTTGTGACTTTGGGCACGTGACTTCCCTTTTCTGGGCCTCAGCTTCTGTCTGCATCTGTAAAATCCAGGGGTCCGGGTCAGCTGTAACACCAGTGACAGCGCAAATCACAGAACCATGCTGTGAGATTATGGGAGATGAAGAGAGGCTGGTGGGAGAGGCATTCTGGGGCTTTCTACAGCCTCTCAAATCCCAGGATAGAGAAGGCCGCAGACTTTTTCTTCACAGGTTGAGCTGCTTCTGAGCCCTAGGACTTATGCCTACTCTTCTAGACTAGATAAACCAAAGGCCGAATTGGTGGACTTGTTCATTTTCCTCTTAACAGCTCACCCCCCAGGATGACCGAGCCTGGGGAGAGAAAGACTGTGTGGGAATTAGGGGCACAGGGTAGTGTGGAGGATGGGTGGGCTCTGAGGTGGGGATCAATGAGGGGAGTAGAGACTCATCAACCTCTCTGGGTAGACCAGGATGTTTGTAGTAGGGGGAGGGCATCCTGTTTGGGTCAGGAGAGGCAGAGAGCTGACAGAGGGACAGGTTGTTTCTCTATGATCTGCCTCTGGGTCTCAGGTCAGGGACTGGCAGTCAGCAACATTGGAAATTTTGCTCCTCTTTCTGAGCTCCTTGTCTTTCCTCTCCGGGAGAGTCACTGATTACAAAACTCCTTGGATGGGGGAGATGGAGCCCAGGCCCTAGAGAGGCCTGGACTAGAACAAGGAGATAGACTAGTTAGGAAGGAAAGTGAACAGTTAGTGGTTAGTGACCAAGCTGAAAGGGATTTTAGAGGTCACCTAGAATCTAGATTCTAGGCCAACTCCTCCTTTTTGTAGATGAGGAAACTGAGGCTCAGAAAGGAGAAGTGACTAGTCCAAAATGACATGGCTCATATGTGGCAGAGCTCAGATGAGAACTCAGATCTTTGGGTGCTGTTCGGGTGCTCTTTCCACTACAAAGGCAGTGTTCCCTTGCATCTGAGCTGCATATCACACCAAACACAGCCTTCTGGGGGTCATGGGGCATCATCTCCTCTTAACTCCATTACTACTGTCTCTTCCTGCTCTATGGATTCTTGCGAATACTAATCAAGGATCCAGTGAGGGGGGAAGTTGGTAAGTTTTGGAGGAGTTAGCCTTCCTTTATAGTCTCGTCTCCCGTGGCCCCTCCTGCTCCAGACGTCCTCTGAGTCCCTAGACAAGCCACTAATGTACTTGCTTTGAACTGTAACTCGGAACTCTCACTTGCAAGTTGGGGCATAATGGTGTGATCTGAAGGATGAACTAGGTATCTTAGAGAGATTTTTTTTCAGGTTTTTCTGGGGGGAGGTGAAGTTCCACCATGGGTTCTGTTCTGTTATTTTCCTCATTGCTCTGCTTGAGCTACTCTTTCAGTGTGTATGTCTTAGCATGTCTGGAAATGAGGTACAGAGAGGCAGGTAGAAGGTACATAAAGCAGTAGGGGATCCAAAGACAACTCCTGGGATGCACAATTTTGCCACTGTCCTCCCAGTGGTCTTGTCACTACCTGGGACTGGAGGGCCAGTGGAGCGGGAGAGGAATTGAAGGAGTGGATCTTAACATCTAGAGCAGGCGTCCTGAAACTACAGCTTGCGGGCCACACGTGGGCTGCCTAGCACATTCATCCGGTCCTTCGTGTGTTTTTGCCATTGCTGCCTGTCCTGCTTAGCAGCTGACTCGTCCAGGGCCCACAGTGCGCACTCTCCAATGGTCTGAGGGACAGTGAACTGGCCCCCTGTTTAAAAAAGTTTGAGGACCCCTCATCTAGAGGGAAGTCCACAGGAATACAATCTGAGTGGGGAGGGATCTTAATGATCACATTGTTGGTACAACTCCCTCATTCAACCTGTGGGAAAATAGACACCCCCCCCCCAAAATCATTTGCTCAAGGTCTCACAGCCCAGTAGTGGCAGAGCTGGGAGCTGGCAGAAACTAGGTATCTTGACTCCTGTCCACAGATCTTTCCATTATAACTTCCCTTCTGCCTGAAGGGCAGCGTCTAAACTCTTCTGATGATCATTCAAGCTCCTTTGGATGTGACTCTGCCACTGGCCCCCATCTCCTTATGGCTCTCCCCAGTGCCCTGTGCTCATGACACTGAGTTACATGCCATTCTCCAAATATTCCTTGTACTTGCACACCTTTGCCTTTGCTCATGCTGTTTTCATAGGCAGGAATGCTCTTCCTCTTTTAATCTGCCTGGCAAACTCCTCATTATCCTTCAAGACCCAGCTCCAATGTCATTCTCTGTAGATCCTTTCCTGAGACACCTTCTTTCCCACACCCTAGACAGTTAGTCTCGACCTCTTGTCTGTTCTCAAAAGCACTTTGCACAAAGCCCCACTAGAACACTGTGCTATATTGAAATTGTATGTGTGCACTGTGAGGTATGAGGCAGGGACCTGTGCCTCCTACATTTCTTTGTTCCCTAGGCCTGATACATAACAGGCACTCAAGAGTAAATGAATCAATGCTTCTTCTACAAGAACTTTCCCCCTTCAGCACACACACACATACACATTCATGAAAACAGTTAACTTAAAAAGCAACCTCGGCCGGGTGTGGTGGCTCACACCTGTAATCCTAGCACTCTGGGAGGTTGGGGCGGGAGGATCACACAAGATCAGGAGTTCGAGACCAGCCTGAGCAAGAGCGAGATCCCATCTTTACTAAAATATAGAAAGAAATTAGCTGGACAACTAAAAATATATAGAAAAAATTAGCCGGGCATGGTGGCGCATGCCTGTAGTCCCAGCTACTTGGGAGCCTGAGGCAGAAGGATCACTTAAGCCCAGGAGGTTGAGGTTGCTGTGAGCTAGGCTGACGCCATGGCACTCTAGCCCAGGCAACAGAGCGAGACTCTGTCTCAAAAAAAAATAAACAAGATAAAAAGCAACCTCGATGGCAGGCCAAAACAGATTCCACCTGGTCTGGGGAAGGGGAGGCTCAAAGAAGTGAAGCCATCTCAGTCAGGTGGGGTGAGTCAGAGGAGGAGGAATTCTAAGCCTCCTCTGGAAGCCCAGACACTCCCTGCACCTGGATCCCCTTTAATCCAAAGGGCAAACATTCTTGGCCCCAAAACTCCAGCAATGGCTTTGCCACCCTGTTCTTTGTGTACCTACATAGGGTGTGGCCATACACACCTACCCACTGCACACACACAGTCCAACTCCTGATCACCCAGCCTGTGGTCTTGCCTTTCAAGTGTGCCTTTCATGATTCCAATCTTAGCTGTATGCTTGGCTGTGTGGCCTTGAGCACTGCATTTACTCCCTCTGAACCTCATCTATAAGATGGGCATAATTATGCCTGCCCTGCTTACCTCATGTGGAAACTGGAGAAGACAATAGATGGGAAAGTGTTTCAGAAACTGCAAGCATATGAGATAATTATTGGGCAGCCTGATCACACTGTTTTATTTTCTATGGCCACATCCTTCCCCCCATATTATTAAGAACAGCCATCCCTATGTCCTGTCCCCACACTGGCTCTCCTACCCTCAGAAGAAGCCAGGAGGTTCTTATTACTCTTCTTGATTCTTAGAAACCTCACCTCCTTCAGAAGCCTTCCTTGTGTTCCACCTCTGCCCTGCAGTACCTTACCATTTGGGGCCACCATTCTATAGTCCTGTCTTTGGTGGAGAACACACCAGAGAGGGAATCAAGAGACCTGATTTCTGCCCCTATTTTGCCAACAAGTCTAGCCCTGTGTTCCACTCTGGGTCTCATTTTCCTCATCAGTAAGATGGGGTTTCTAGTCTTGCCTCTTAGGTATTTTGAGCACCCAGACATTAAGTTTATGGATGTGTTTTGGGAAGTACAGAGTAAGTGAGGGATGAAGAATGTTGGTGGTTATCATCTCAAAGAGTCAAGGAAATCTGAAAGCAGTTCCCATGCCTTTATGTGGAACTGATAAAGTGGCTGGATGCCAGGAGATAATGAGGAGCTTATATGTTCACAATATCCCTTTGTAGGTGAAGTGGAGAGAGCCCTGGGCTAGGAGTGCGGAAACCTGGGTTCTAAATCTGTCTGGTCCCTGGTCCCTGTCTGGTAAACCTAGGTTAATCATCTTCCCTGGGGGCTTGGTTTCCCTATATGCAAATTGATGGGGATCAGGGAGGAGGGATTAGGAGATACTCTCCTGGGCTCTGGCATAAGAGCTGAATTCATTTACTTTCTAGATAAGAGACTCCCAGGTCCAGTCCCCCTTTCTCCTCATGTCCCATGGGGTACCAGGCCCATTTTACAGGCGGTGACCCAGGAAAAGAGCTGGCACAGAGCTGGTGGATGGCACAGGCTTACACAACCTGGAAACTAGAGCCCAAGTCTTCTGACTACTAGTCCAGATCTAAGTATCTAGCAGCGGGAGATGCCTTTGGGAGTTACCCCGTTTTCCCAGCACTGGCTGGGTTTGGAGTGTCGTTTCTGCCTGTGCACTCGCTGGGCACTCGCAGGTGTTCGCCTGCGTATCTGTGGGTGTGGAGGAGCTTTAATTGTCGCCGTCCTGGGGCCCGGGAGTGCCAGCGCAAGCCCCCACGATTTCCAGGCAGGAGGTGCAAAGAGCCCAGCTCCCCACTCGCACGTGCTGCCCCAGGATCCCTGTGCCCGGCCCGGGGAAGGATCCACTCGTTATCAGAGCGCCCCTGACCTCTAGTCCTTAGTCGTCCGTCTCAAGGAGAACACGCCCCGGTCCTCTGAAGGGAGGCGGGAAGACCCTTCATTTCTATCCCGGCTGCAGCTCAGCCTTCCCAACTCTGCAGATGCGCCTTACCTGCCTCTCAGCAGGGCTCTGAGGGCGCCCGTTTGCTCGCTGGACTCGGCGCCCTCTGCTCCGGATGGCCCGGGCACTGCGCCCCTGTGCGCTCGCGCCCCAAGCCCTCCTGGCTCTGCGCTCCCACCCGCGCTCGGCTCCCTTTTCCCTCCTCCAGGGCGTCCCTTCCCCTGGCCCCGCCCGGCCCGCCCGGCCCCTAGCACACCCACTTCTCCCCCTCTGAGCTTCGGGCGGGCGCCTCCGCCCGCTCCCTGGCCTCACCCGGCTGTGGGCTCCGACCCTTCCGTCCCCTGCAGCGCCTGCTTCCTGGACCTGAGACCACAAGCCTGTCGCTTGGCTTTGCCTGGGCTAGCCCAGCATGAGGCCAATCTCCAGCCGGCCAGGCTGAGTGCTGGGCACTGGTGGAATCAGGCCTTGCCCCTGTGTGGCTCTGTGGCAGTCGTGGGCAAGTCACTGTTCCTTACCTGGCCTTGGCCGCGCTGTAAAATGGGTACAGTTCCTGCACGCATTCTTCACAGGCATATGCTGGGGTCAGATGACACCTTAGAATCCAAAATTTTAAAACCAGAGGGTCACTAGAGAATTCATCTGATTCTGACACACACACTCTTTCCCAGACAGGATGCAGAGACCCTATAGGAGCAGGAACGTGCCCATGGTGGCAGAGCTCAGACTCAGAATCCACTACGTCATCCTCTCTCCTTAGTCTGGGCAGGTGTCTCATTCCACCAAGCCTCAACAGTCCCTCACATGCCTGACCAACTGTGTCCAGCCACACCTTATTGGTGGCTTTGTCCCAGAGCACTTTTCATTTTCCCACTGCCCTCACTCAAACTGTTGCTTCCTTGCTGGTAACATTGCAGGCTCCAAAGAAGAGAAGCAGTCAGGGACAGCTGGGAACTGAGGGCCACAGTCCACAGTCACAGCAAACAGTTTCTCAGTGACCCTGTGGAGAGCTCTTAACAAAGCCCTCTTTACCAGCCTATGGGTTCAGAATATTATTAATAATCAACTCAGGCCAGCTCTCTCACTCCCTTGCAAACAGAGATCTGTCCAGGATATCTGAGGCACATATCCTTGATCACAGAATCTCAGACTATATCTAAGAAGCGCTATCATTTTAAAAAGACCTATTACATGGTGTGCATTTTGCACAAAATTGCTAATCTTCATCAAAACACATTGTTATTTCCATGGTTACATGTTTTGACCTAGCTATTCCTTTTTCTCAGCCTGGAGATCACTTCTCAGAGAAGTCATCCTGACCATCTAGCATGCAGTCTCAACTTTCAGCCTGTCTAGGAATCACCCAAGGAGTTTGTTTTAATAAAGTAGACTCTTGGGCTCCACTCCAGAGGTTCTGATTCAGGAGATCTGGAGTGGAGCCCAGAAATTAGCATTTTTAAACAAGAGTTCCAAAGGACTCTGATGCAAAGCGGTTCTTGAGACTAGCCACGAGAAACTAGGCCTGGCTCAGTCAGGGCTCCTTTCCAGATCCTACTCCAGGCCTTGCATTTGCTCTATAGGACTACTTATTGCAGTTATTGAAAGTAACTATTTGACTATCCCATCTGCTAGATTGTGAGTTCTTTGTAAATGGGGATTGTTCTCATTAAATCTTAGAATCAAAGCCTTAGAGTCATACCACCTTAGAGGATTAGAATCGTTTAATGATAGAACTAAATTGGAAGGACTCTCAAGAGTTTCCTAGTCAAATCCCTCATGAGCCTAATGAAGGCTGTTTCGTTTTCAACCAGAGTCTGTCCAGTTTCTCCTGCACACCTCTGGTGATGGGGAGTTCATTGCCTCCAAGGCAGCCAAACGGCTCTCATTATTATGACTTTCTCTCATTTTGACAAAGACTGCCTCCTGTTGACTTCTACCCTTTGGTCCTTGCACCCATTGGAAACTTAAAATATAAGCCTGATTTTTGTTCATTTTTCAGTCTTTCAAGGATTTAAGGTCTATCCTCCCATTTCCCCTTCTCTGGGGTGAGGATGAGGCAGGAATGCTGTTAGGGAAGGCAGCTGGCCAAGGGACTGTTGGAAAGTAGACTGAGTTGCCTCATTTTCCCCAGCTGTCCTTTGTAAGCTTGCTATTAGGCTTAGATGACCTACTATGTATCATGTGCCTAGAGCTGGACCTAGCATGAGGCATGTGCTTCATAAATGGCAGCTTCTATTGTTATTGGGTGAGAAAAGGAAGGAGGAAACAGAGTTCCTGTCCCTGAGGAGCCTATAGTCTGAGAGGGACCTTCAAGGAGCTCCCTAATCCCTTTAGCTCCCTAAAGAAGTTGGAGACAAAGTCATGACCCTAGGATGGGGAGGGTGGGAGTATGGGGTGGGGTAACGGGGTGGAGGTCAAAGAAAGGAGGGGCCAACTGAAGGGATGAAAGGAAGACTCACCTAGAGATGCACCTCTTTCAAGTCTTTGCTTAAATACAATCATCTTGCTAAGGCCTTCCCTGCCTATCCCTACCCCTCTTCTCTGCCTTGTTTTTCAGTAACACTTAACCAGATGATTCTGATATATTTCACTTTTTTTTTTTAATCTTTTGTTTTTGCTCTTCTTGCATCCCCAGCTGAGGCTCATAGCTCCCTCTGTCCCCCAGCCCAGTTTCAGAGTTCTCCCTGACTCTGGATTCCTGTAACCACCCTCTTCTCATTCCCCTTCAGGCCTAGGGGTGGTAGCGATGCCCAGGCGTGTTAAGCCCCAGAATACTTCATGACCCAGTGGTTTCCCCACTTTCTGCCCATCTCTGATTAGAGCCTCCTCAAATTACTGATATGAGATGGCCTTCTGCTTCCTGCAGGGACCTGATACAGAGGCCCATTCTCTGTGCTCTCACGGCCCCTTGCACTTCCCTTCAACACAGCACTTACCATTCTGTGTTACAAGTATCTACTTTATTAATTGACTCCACACCTGGAATATAAGCTCTTTGAGGGCACTAAGCCACCCCCATCACCAAGTCTAGCACAAAGTAGACCTTAGTAAAAATTTTCTGAATAAATAAATGAATGAATGTTGGTCACAAAAGAGAAGATCACTAGGAATTGTGTTATCAGGGAAAGCTTCCAAGAACAGATGGAACCTGAGAAAGCCTCGAAGTAGCAGAATACTTTTTTAATCTCCCGGCCAAACTTCTCCTCTGAGGACCAGACTCACATAACCAACAACACACTTGACTTGTCTGTTTGAATAACATGTTGGGGCTGGAACTCTTGATTTCTTTCCCTGGCTCTCCACAATCTTCTTTCTCAGTAAATGGCTCCATCATCTGCCCGGTTCTCTGTTTGTTTTCTTCATAGAACTCTACCCAATCTTTTGTTTAGCTGTGTGTTGATTTGGGGTCTGCCTTTCCTGTTAGACTGTAAGCTCAACAAGAACAGACACTAGTTGTGTCTTTTTCTCTCTAGTATCCCCAGGATGTAACTCCATGTCTGCCTAGTAGGTGGGGGGAGAACAGTTGAGAGGTAGGGTGAGTGTGGGTGGTATCAGAATCCTCAGTCACCAGGGGAAACGCAGTGTGAATCACACAGGAAGTTTAACAGTCACATCAAGTTATTTTATTCCATTACTCATGAGGAGTCTGTGTTTGTGCCTCCATGGTCTTATCTCCTCCTGGCCTGTCAGTTTGATCCTTAATTCCTTATATTCCCAAATCTGAAATACTCTAGCCCAGAAATCAGCTTGTTCCCCTCTCTCTATCTCCTCTCCTTCTCTCTCTCTGAACTCCTCTCTAAGGAAAATGCTAACTTCTTCTCTGATGTATTTTTGAGTGTCTGAGGATGTGCATTCCAGAGTCTCATTCTGATTCCAACAGCAAATATGCATCTTTGGAGGAACCACTTGTCCTCTCTGGGCCTGTTTCCCTCTCTGCACAGGAGAGTGTAAGGTACCCTGATCCCTGGAGCCCCTGCTAAATCTGGTCTTCTTCAAGACTCAGCCTGGCCTCCTGAGGAGGGACAGGCACCACACCACAGTTTGCAGCTCAGCCAGGTGTGGTATGTCAGCTCTCCATAGTTACAAAGCATCTTCACACTCACTGTCTCATTTAATCCTTTGGAGTCTAGACTTGGGTTTAAACTGTGGACCTGCATGAAGAACATGGACCTGTGGAACTACACAAACTTGGGCAATTTCTTTTTCTCAACCTCACTTTCCTCTTCCGAAAACAGGGCTGGTAATATAACATTTTGGATTTGTCATTTGCTGCAAAGATTAAATACTGTGTATAAGGTGCTTAGAAAGAACAGCCCTGGGCCCACTTAGCTTGGGCTGGGGAGGGGCAAGTGTAGTGGAATTGAGTTGGTCTGAATACCAATAACTCCTCCCAGGCTCCTGATATTTCACAGGGCTCAGCGGACCCCTGTCTATACTCTGATGGTGGATTAGGTGTGTGTGTCAGTCATGGTCCCAGCAGGAAATAGATGGCACCCTGGGCTGGATAATTTAAAGAGTGTGATGAGGGTTTAGGAAATTAAGAGGGAATAGTGCGGTATGCCCGGCTAGCAACAGTGGAGAGGGGAAGCACCCACACTGAGAGGGCTGAAAGAGGAAGGGGTTTCTGGAACTTGGAGAAGGAAGTGGTGGGGAGGGAGGGCAGATGGGTTGGAGCTGTGGCCTTTGGTAGAAGCTGCAACCAACTCATGCTGAGCCGCAGGGAGAAAGCAAGGGGAACAATACCATCCTCTCCCTCTCCTCCCATCCTGTGGTCTTCTACCACTTCCTCCTGTTGGCTCAACTCATGGGGAGCGAGGTCTGTGGTGGGTGGAGAAGGGTGGTGAGTACATGGAGAGGCAAGTGGAAGGGTTGGGCACAGGCAGTGGGTGGGGTCCCCCCATTCCTTTTTAGCCTGCCCTGGGCAGTGGGTGGTAGGGAGGAGAACTAAGGAATGTAGGAGGAGGCTGTAAGCTTGGGTTGTTCACCCCAGTAGGAGAAGGAAAGGCTTCAGTTCCTCAAATGCTCACATGCTCTCTCGCACCTCCAGGCCTTTGCCTATGCCATTCTCTCTGCTCAGGACACCCTTCCTCCCAGGGCTGGCTAACCCATCCTTACATGCTGCTTCCTCCTGGAAATCTCCCCTGCACAGCCCTCCTCTGTGTCTCTGACCCCCCCCCACA